CCTCCCATTGCTTCTCGTACTTCTGGCCAAAGGAGGCCATCTCTTGCAGCTCAACGTCGGTTGGAACCACCCAATCATCATTTTCTTTCACATCTCTCAAGAAAATAGGATCTGAAGATTTGTTATCCCTAAGAGATTTGTAGCGCCTCTCTAGTCTTTTGTTATATTGAATGAATACAAGATCATTCAACTTTTTTTGCGAAAGACAGTTTCTCTTCTTAGAGTGCAACAGAAATGATAATTGATAAATTTTGAAAATCATTACTTGAATTACAGTTGCATTTGAGCTATTACATTTTCCATAACCAAGAAAACTTACATGATCAAATGCACTCCAATTTTGCCCACAAGGAGAAGCACTACAAGTTTGGCTTACTACACTAATCGCAAATTCTTGGAGCACGGTGTGTCAATGCCATAAGAACGCCACCATACATCTACATTTTATAGGTGTATTAAGTTAATAAAAAACACATACATAAACTTTTGAATATGTATGTATATATCTATATGTATAATATATTATATTGATTATCATACTTATGTGGTGCAATTTTGGCTCTATTCCTTATGGCAGTCGTAGATCCAAATTGCCCCAATGACTCGACATATTGATTAAGTTCCATTCTTAAAGTATCATTTCTTTCTTTATCACACATAAGTCGGTCAATTGTCTCATATAGTCCCGTCTTAATGTATCTATTATTCTCAACTTCTGAATCTTGTGCATAATAGATGGCGGGGTTGAGGTAATATCCGGCTACAAATGTACTAAAAGTTGATGCCAATAATTGTATTAACTTTAAAATTAATAAAACATAACAATGTTTTATAAATTATACATGCATGCTAAGGATGATGAAGTTGGTCATTCCACCGTGTTTGAATTATAGACCACACTCTAGTGATCAATCTCTCGTGAGTAGTGTTGGTCAAGTTCTTCTTAATATTATCTTTTGCTCTTTCCATAGCATCGTATATATAACCATACACGGCTTCTCCTTCGTGTCAACCAACCGAACCACATCAACCAATGGTGCCAGTACCTGACAAGCACGATAAATATTGTCCCAGAACTCTTGCTTAGCTAGTATTCTTTCAATTCTTTTTCCAATGGATTTCTTGGCAAAATCACTCTTCCTCCATTGTGCAGAAACAAATATCACTTGGAGATGATGTCGGTTCTCATTGCTCTGAATAGTGTAGAATTGTGTTGCAAACCTTGTAACACAAGAACTATGTAATTCCTTATTTTTAGTGAGCCTCCGCATCATATTCAGAATCCTTCCGTGGTTATAAATATTAGTCCTTCCATGAATCTTATGATAGGAGATGTCGGAGAGAAAATACCGAAGATTAAAAGTGTGTTAGCTGATTCGGAGGCGATCTCGAACATAAAAAATATATATAATTTTAAAAAGACAGAAGACCCTTCTAAGAGAGAAAATGAAATACGAACAACCACGCTCTCGTTGTAATAGATCGAATTTTGGCTTGGATTACTTAGTGTTGCGCGCCTAGGAGCGCAAGGCGCTTTGGGATGTTCCAATTCCAGAGGCTTTCTCCGATCAAAGTCGGATCAAATGAAAATAGTGGTTTATATCTATAACCACAGAAGGATTCTGAATATGATGCAGAGGCTCACCAAAAATAGGGAATTACATAGGTCTTGTGTTACAAGGTTCAACACAATTCTACACCATTCAGAGCATTCATGAGAACTGGCATCATCTCTAAGAGCTATTTGTTTCTGAATAATGGAGGAAGAGTGACTTTGCCAAGAAAGCCATCAGAAAAAGAATTGAAAGAATAATAGTTAAGCAAGAGTTTTGGGACAATATTTATCTTGCTTGTCATGTACTGGCACCATTGGTTGATGTGGTTCGGTTGGTTGACACGGAGGAGAAGCCGTGTATGGGTTATATATACGATGCTACGGAAAGAGCAAAAGATCAAATGAAGAAGAACTTGACCAACACTATTCACGAGAGATTGATCACTAGAGTGTGGTCTATGATTCAAGCATGGTGGAGTAACCAACTTCATCATCCTTTGCATGCAGGTATACTTTATAAAACATTGTTATGTTTTATTTAATTTTAAAGTTAATACAATTATTGGCATTAACTTTTAGTAAATTTGTAGCCGGATGTTACCTCAACCCGCCATCTATTATGCACAAGATTCAGAATTTGAGAATAATAGATACATAAAGACGGGACTATATGAGGCAATTGACCGACTTATGCGTGATGAAGAAAGAAATGATACTTTAAGGATGAAACTTAATCAACATGTCGAGTCATTAGGACAATTTGGATCTACGACTGCCATAAGTAATAGAGCTAAAGTTGAACTATGTAAGTATGATAATCAATATAATATTATATATAGATATATACATTCATATTCAAAAGTTTATGTATGTGTTTATTATTAACTTAATACATCTTTAGATGTATGGTGGCGTTCTTATGGCATTGACACACCTGTGCTCCAACAATTTGCGATTAGTGTTTTCTCCTTGTGAGCGGAATTGACCTGCATTTGGTCATGTAAATTTTCTTGGTTATGGAAAATGTATTAGCTCAAATGCAACTCTAATTCAAGTGATGATTTTTAAATTTAAAAATTATCATTCCAGTTGCACTCTAAGAAGAGAAACTGTCTTTTGTAAAAGAAGTTGAATGATCTTGTATTCATTCAATATAACAAAAGACTAGAGAGGCGCTACAAATCTCTTAGGAATAACAAATTTTTAGATCCTATTTTCTTGAGAGATGTGGAAGAAAATGAAGATTGGATGGTTCCAACCGACGTTGAGCTGCAAGAGTTTGTGGATGTAAGAGATGGCCTCCTTTGGTCAGAAATACGAGAAGCAATGGGAGGTAATGAACAAGTTGGGCCAAGTACAAGAAGTAAAATGGAGCACTATAGGGATGATGATCAGGAACATGTTGGAGATGTCTAAATGCCTTATATGCTAATAAGTAAACATATTAAGAAGTTATACATATATACTAATAAGTTCTAAATGCCTTATAATATGGGGAAATGTCATATAAATATACTCATAACGAATATGCTCGTAATTAACATTTTAAGAATTGAGGTAAAAATATATATAATATCAATTTAAAGAAAATAAAATATTTGCTTTTTATACAAGTTATTCTAAAAAATTTATTATAGTTAAGATTATTTAGGGGTGTTTTTAGGGGGTACTAAGAGATAAGGAATGAAAATGATACTGAAAAGTATGGTTTGGTTTAATATAATATAATGGCACATTATATCAAACCCATTAATTTTCAATTGATCATGTGCAATGTTGTAATCCTGTCATTCCTTTATCTGATTTCCTTGATCCTTCATCTGGCTGGGCTGTTGATAGAGTCCCCTTGAATCAATGCATTAATTTGACGTCAAGGCTAAACCTCGTCACGACTGTTGTCATAGTCAACAAGGTTTCCAGATTCGAATCAGCTTACCATTGCCCAACCAAAGTCTAGCCCCTGTCGGACTCGTGCTGAGAACTTCGGGATAAAGTCCAACGGCTGGAATAGCTTGGTTCGGTACTTTTGGAATGGTGTAATTCGTCCATTCATTCCGCTCAACCTCTTTTCACATACCGTTGCTCCACCTCTCTCAATGTAACCACTCGATCTTTGGCAAAGGAAAGGGAAGAACGCGGTCCTTGAAATCGTAATGTGGATGAGTTCTACCGTTTTTCTTCATATCAAAATCATGGGTGAGTTTTAATTTTCTTCTCCAAGTTGGTTTTTCTTCTCGATTACTAGAAAGCAGTTTTCTTAAATGGGTTTCCAAAATTAGATCTCTTCAAACTTTCATTCTTATTGCTTATAACAACGGTAAAATAGAAATATTATAAAATTTAAAAAACATTGTATGAATTATTGATTCATACTTAATGTCTTAAAGAGCATCTCCAACAGTTATTCATGATTACTCCAAAATGAAGAAAAATGTTATAATCTAAACTACATCTAATTTCAACAGTTTCTTCATTTTAAGGATTTCAACATTAGTTATTTCATTGATTATATGAAAAAAGTTGTTGTACCTTATTGTTAATGTCTGTGGTATTATAGGTCACAAGGTCAAATCTTTTTGACTTGTTTTTAATGTCTTTTGGTAACAACACCAGGCGGTGGGTCGAGACTCTAGCCTTATGAGCCATAGCCTTTTCCAAGGCTTGAACGGAAATCTCTCTCTCTCTCTCTCTATATATATATATATATAGAGGAGCGATCAAATAAAAACCGTCCTCATTTGTAAAAACCGTACAAACCACCTTCATACGTCGATTTTATTGTTTAATCTTATGAAATTTTTTTATGAAATTGTTTAATCTTGTGAAATTGTTTCATATAATACTTTTTTTGATGAATTTGTTTCATATATGGTTATGAAATTATTTCATATAATATTTAATGAAATTTTAATGAAACTGTTTCATGTATTTCTTTAAAATTAAAATAATGAAGATGATAATATCCATGATTAACACCCTCCACAATAAAAATGGTTAATCAACCTCTCATAATTACAAAAAAATAAACAAAATGAAAAATTATGATTGGTTGAATAAGATTTTCACGGTTTTTTACAAATTGAGTGGTTTTTATTTGAACGCTCCCCAATATATATATATATATATATATATATATAGTTATCTATATACATATACACATTTTCTATTATTATTCTGATATAAGACCATATACAAGTAAGTCATATACGAAAAACAAAAAACTAAAAGACAAAAAAAACGTAACGCCTAATAAAAAAGTACAAAACAGATCATGGCATGCCATAAGTATAAGATGACGTTAGAGACGAGTCTTACGCCACGATGCATCATGATGGCTACTGTCACGCCTCTGTTAGAATAATAATTTTTAACAAAACCTAGTTTCTACGATTAATATTTATTTTATATTATATCAATTATTACGTGGAAAAAATGTAGATCCGGCTTTGAAAAGAACTTTGGTGATTTGAAGAATCTGCCATCAATATCTAAAAGAATATAAAAAATGAGAAGCAGCCTATTTATGTTTGGTTATTACAGTTAGTCAGGCTTGTCTCTATGATGTCTAAGTTTCATCAGCCATCCCCTTTGATCTTCTTAACTTGCTAGCTGGGAAATGTAGTCTGGCCATAAGGGGACGTGGTGCACGTGTCTTCTGGTCAAATCCCCTCACACAAACAAACCCTGAAATATAAGATTAGTCAAAACTGAGGTGGGATCAATGATTTAAGAATTCTACAACAGATTTCTTTCTCCTAACAGCTTATTTGTTGGCTGGCTTAATAATTGCATGGCCTAGTGGATATGATGCTTAGGGAGTTTGGGTGCTGTGAAAGTCTCATGGAGACTTCTATTAAACTTTGGAAGACCTATCTTTGCTTGTTTTCAAGTTGCAAACATATAGAAGTAAATACTTTGTTCATTGCCTACCAAAACTTAGCAACGTTCCCCTCTATAATTAGCGATTAAGATCTGATATCATTTGTAACGCCCCATAATCCAAAGCAGTTGGCTAACCCAATAACCTCCAAATCAACCTAAGTGAGAGTTATTGGTAGTCCACAACTTTGTGCTTATAAGGAGCTCACAAGTCTACCTTTCTATCGGGATGGAAAGGGTTGTCATAAACTCCCCCACTTAAATTCTCAATGTCCTCGTTAGACCTTTCAAGCATCCTCTTCTTGTTAATCGACGATGTGGGATTCACCTAAGATGTTACAAATGGTATCAGAGTACCATCACAAGATGGTAGTGCAAACCTCATCGAGCATGATGAGTCCCTGGTCTGTTACTAGATTTTGCATAACAAAATTGGTGTGTGCTTATGGTCTAGTCCTATTACCACTGTCTTCTTTTGTTCATCTTTGGGCTGCTGGTATGTCTGAGAAATTAGTGGAACAAACTGGAATGTAAGTGAATGAGGATTGATATCTCTACATACCTCGCCAGAAGCAATATTGAATACCTTCTGTTGTCAGGCCTGATAGATAAAAGTTGTCATGTAAAAATGTGGTATTGTTAGAATTGTCTGATATGAGCTTACACTGATATTATGCTAGCCAAACTTATCTCCTTTTACCTTTGAATATTGTCGGTATTGAAGTTCCAAAGTACACTGTTCTTCTTGGTAAATTCCATAACCAAGATCTGGGGACATCAATTGGGTTAAGGCTAGAATCATGATCCGCAAACACCTGCATCTCAATGACAGTTTTATTGAGAACAACATAATTACATCCTCCCCACCAGAATTGAAAGGAAGAGCTAGAGGGAACTTAAATTCGTCAGGCCTTCCCAGAATCCTCCTTGTAGTCGGTGATGTGGGATTCACCTGAAATGTTACAAACACCCCTCCCCTCGAGGACTCATCATGCTTGATGAAGTTTCCCCCCACCATCCCGATGGTACAAGGATCTGCTCGAATACCAACTTGTAACAACACCCTACTTTCTATAGCCGAGTGTCAGCATTTTGAATTACCTCATTAACTTGGAAGTATGTACCGTTGAGTGGGAAGCTCCCTCTCATAGCAGTTCGACATGGTATCTATTCATGATGTGAATTTAGGATCAGAGTCAGACGTACAGGTTCTATATGTGCAAGCATTTATGTTCAATTTAGTCATATAGCATTACTGTACTTTATACTCACCAACAGTGTTCCTCTAATGGTTTGAGAATTTGCTTCTCGGATGCTGTTGCACGAGAAACATGTTTCTTTGTGACATAATGTACCAGATTCTTCGGAGCTACACCTTACTCCTGGTGGCTGAATTGATTCTGCAGTTTCACCTGATAGAAAGAGCAAGAAGTGGGCATATAACTAGATTATCAATCACAAAGCCAAAATAGACTTGCATCCCAGGAGGGTTGCACACACATTAATAGTTGCAATCATGATTTTGGAACATCTATGAAGCGTTACCAGGGGTCCAAATTGCAAGGAGGTATGAGCAAGGATCATCAGGCTCTCGCTTGTCCAGCTGAAATTTAGAGAACATTTGTTGAGAAACAGATTTACTGAAACTGCCAGGTGTATTCTCCAAAAGGTATGCTTACCCCTTCCAAGAGAGGATGTGAATCTGGAAGCTCGTAGCTGTAACATTGATGTGAAAGAAGTCGTTAGAACTCATGATACCCCTAAAGGCGCCACCATGTTCCTTGACGAACTACCCTGCTTTTGTAATTAGTTGTTGCATAAAGGTAAATTTTTCCCAATCTCTTCACACTTGTCTTACATGTTTGCTCTATGTATTACAAGCCAATTTCTGAATGTGGTGAATTTTTTGCCTCAAGTTTTATTTTGAGCATCTAGTGAACTCCAACATCGATCTTGCCTACTATCTGGATGTAAACCTCAATTTAAATTGTATAAACATAAAAGCTACTGTTCTTAGTACTAGTAATTGTTTAAATCATTTTGTAACCAATTAATATGTTTCAGTTATCAACAAATAAGTACTTTGTACAGTTATCTTCCCTTTTATGTTATATATGTATTCAATATCAGAAAAGGACATAATAAAGAATTAGAATAAGCATCTACTTACACTTGGTGCTCTGTTCTTAGCTGGCTCACATTTTTAAGTTTAGGTGCGGGGATCGAGGCAGCTTCTGATGCTAAGGCAACCAAGGCCCTTGACATGTCACCTTCTGCAAGTTCCATATTATTTTCCATGTAAGTCTGCAAGTTCTGAGTAAATGCTTCCATGTTGAGTTTGATCATTGGAATTTCTTCAGGATCTTCACAGAAGTCCTCTATATCAGATTCTTGCTGAATCTTTTCCGGCTCTGGTGTTGCTGGTACCTCAACTATGGGCTCTGGTGTTGCTGGTTCTTCAATAACAGGGTCGTGATTTTGGACTTGGGACTGTTGGTGCAGACAGTGATTATCTAGAGGTAGAGTTAAGTGGAGTTGACTGGTGATCCTTGTAGGGCTTTGATCAGGGATTTTGTTTTCTGTTGCACTCACTATACTTCTCTCTTCAGGTGCTGGCAGCGCAAGCCTTGCACTGCAATGAAAATACTGTTAGTTATGCAATGAGCCATTTTTTATTGTTATGCTTTCTTGTTGTTGAGGCATAAACTACTGTTGTCCAAAGGCATCAAAAGCCACATGTCAAACTCATGATACATGATTTTTGGTTAACAATATATACTAATTTCTATCATATGATGTGACGTCATCTCATTGTGTGGTTCCGCCATAATGGTGCATCCTTAGGTTGACTTGAGTTTTTTGTCAGGAAAGAGGAGGCTACAAGTTTCACGGTGCTCGTCCTGTGAGTTGTGTGGACGTGGGGTTGTGAAAACTGAGAAGACCTGCATCTTAAAAGTGTAAAAAAGAGAAATGTTGGATCTCCTGGTGGAAGACCCAAGGTTCATAAGAAATTTTGCTTGAACCTTGCAAATGCACTTGCAAAATGTCTGCATTCTCCTCTCATTGGACATGCATTGCAATTTGGTTTGTTCTTCGTACAGAAAACCTGCAAAAGTTATGAACTTATGTTGGCACCAATTAGGAAGACACCTTATGTTTCTTGTGTATATGGTTTTACCTTCCCAAAAGTAATCATCTGGTAATGTAATTCATACCTGTCAATCATGCAACAAAATTAGCAAAAATGATTTAGTTTAATATGTTCATCTATTTAACCTCGAACATATGTGCATGAACAACAATGTTTATATTTGTCGTGGTAATGCATGAGAAAGTTTGGCTTACAAACTAAAGGGACATTGGTCTAGCGGTACCCGGTAAACCCACCTTCTTATAGGTCAGCGGTTCCAGTCTCACCAATGGTGAGAAGTGTGTGTTAGTTTAATTTTACGTATATAAATATATATATATATATATATAGGTGAGTTATTATGCAACCCTTTATATTTGTACAACCAATACAACTCAATCTCTACCATCCATTTAATTCGATGAATATGTGATTTCATAAAAGTTTTGATTGTTTCCTATATTAATCATAATTAATGAACTCTAGTCATCTTCCATAAATATTTAAATCATAATAAATAAATTCTCATCATTTCCATAAATATCTCAATTGATTGGGTTGCATTGATTGTACAAATGAACATGGTTGCATTTGAAATATATACTTTAAAAAAAGAAATTGACTTACAAAGTTCTTTGGTCGAGCTTGCAGAGTCGTGGCCACAGATACTTTTGGATCGACTCCAAAACTGGATACCTGAGTACAAATGTAAGTGTTAGCTTTTCTGTCACAATTCTGAAGGTTTTCATAAGCAGCTAACTGGAGGTTTGATGCTCACAATTCTAGAAGATGCAACTGAAGAGACTCGGGAAGTGGTTGCAAGGGTACCCATCCAAGCCTTACAGCTATGCGTCCCACATTTGTGTCAACCTAGTTGAAGGCATACCAGATACTTAAAGCTGAATGTTGCAATAGCTTAATAGAATAATGCTTTCTTTGTGATTGTAATTCTTACCGGAAAAGCAAGATGATGAAGTGTCAGTAGCCGTACACACTCCACACTTTTTAAGCCCAAACCCCTAAAACTTAGCAGATACTCCCTAAGACCAAACAGTGTCAGTGCTACTATTGGTTGCGGATATAATGAATTTTCTTATGAGACAGGACCTATCAACATTATAGTGAAGTTATGCAATGAAACAAATATTATATAGTTGATCGTGCTTTGTCTTACTTGGCTTTGTCAGGTGGAACGTCTCTTAACCATTCAAGATCAATGCTTCCATGGTCTCTTACAAGTCGATTCAGAAAGTCCTGTGTAGATTTTTTTAGTAAGGACTTCAAAGCTGTAGCCAGCATTTGAAACGGGGATGCCACTTGTCAATTTCAAAATACTTATTATAAATGACATATGGGTACCTTAATCCTCTCTGCAAGCATATTGTTCATACCCCTATCCTTGATGGTATCGGCAATCTCATTAACATCTGCACACCTTACTGCTTCATAATCCAATGAATCCTTAGTGTTCGGTGTTGTTTCCCTCTTATGATTTACTTGTGCGCCTATTCTCAGACTATCCCAATTAGGTTTAATCTTTTTTGCTTTTCTGGTTTTCCCCTTCTTTACTTCAGCACTACCCTCGTTGATACCGCTTGCTGTTGTTTGAAGATTGCCATGTTCATTCGAATTTGACTCAACAATCTTATGTGCAGTCTCTCTTGAATTATCTGTCATGTTGTTGCTTTCAGTGACTTCTGAAATCTCTGCTGAACAATTTTCTATATCAAGAGCTTTCTGTGCATTGCAATTATTCTCATGAGCGTGTTGATTGGTGACAATAATTGAATTCTCTGATATCGTCCGACTTTGAAGGGTGTTGCAGGATATGGGTGTTTCTTGGAAGCTTCTTGTCCTGACCATTTCAACTGTAGCTTGGCTTGCAGATTCTGCTGATATTTCGCTCTGTTCACTTGCACACTTCTCTTCAGGTTTGTTGTCGATAATTATTCTTTCTTCTCTCAGCTCAATATATTCAGCTTCTAGAGCTGCTGAACCATGGGCAGTTTGCAACTCATGATCTTTGGGAGGAATTCTGAGTCCTGAAGTAATATGGTCATGAGATATGCCCTCATTCTGTTCAGGCGAGTTATTTATACTTCCTAATTTATCTTGCCCAATCCTCTTATTAGATGGCTTGTGTGCTTGCTCTTGACTATAAACTTCATGTAACTTTGTGGATGCAAAAGAAGTGAACATTTCAGAAATTATGGGTTTAGATGCATCCAGTGGTTCTGATTGAGAGTTCCTCACCAACCAAGATCCTAATCTTTCAGCAGTATCAACAATTGAAGATTGTACAGAGTTTGGACATGTATCAACTGAGTTCTGTGGAGAGACTAAATCATCAACTCCTCTGTTTTCTTGTGTAAAACTTTCTAAGATTCCAGAGTCGTTTCTAGATATCTCTAGAACCTCACCACTCAATATATCCTTCAACCTGACACTACGTTCATTGCTGTTCACAACTTCTTTTTCTTCATATGAATCAGCATCCTGCAGCATTATAGAACCATGATCTTGAGCTGGTTGCTGATTTGAATTCCCTTCATGCCATCTGATGGTTTCTTCTAAATCCAATTGGCATGGTTCTTTGACAGATATGCTCGATTTGTCATCCTGAAGTGGTTCATTGCTGCTCTTTGACTTGAGGGGATATCTGGCAGCAAGATTCATGAATGCCGAACTGCAAAAAGGTAAACAAATATATTCAGTGTTACGAATTCCTAATTAGTTAATATAGTATATATATGCTACCTGGAGAGATGATCTGATACATTCTGGGTAAGGAAAACTCCAATGACAGAGTCTACAACAGACCCTTTCCACCGCGAGAAACGTCTGTCCCCTGCAAAAATTGCATTTTGGTGTTAACATATACAAAGGCTTTGTGTGACAAACTAGGGGGTAGGTTGGCTGAAAAGCTAGTTGTTGGCTAATAAACTAGTTGTGAGCCTATAAACTAGTCATGTTTGGTAAAAATTAGCTAATAAGGTAAATGACAATGTAAAATGTTAATAGCACATGTTGAAAAATTAGTTGGAAAAATATAAGGGACATTATTGGAAAAAGTGGAAAAAAGCCCCCGGAGCTCATTGAAACGCTACTTGAAGTGGCTTTTCAAAAAGCTAACTTATGACTAACCTCTTCAATAAGCTCAAAAAATAAGCTGTCTTATGGTTGCCAAACATGGTGAAAGTCCTGCTGAGGTATGATTGTAAAATTTGTACAAGCTTTTGTTGGTTGTAGATGGTATCTTGTTTATGTAAAGGATACCTCACCTTGAACAAGGTGCATTCTTGCGATGAACGAAGCCGCTCTTCCACTGAATACATTTCGTTCTTCTTCCCACCATTTTTCTTTATCTTCATCTGTCCCATCTATTCCTTTACTGTTTATATCTTCCAACAGAAGCCTCCACACTCTGCTTGTCTCATCATCAAGGTCGACTTTAGGGCGTGGCTTTCTTCTTCTTAGTTGATAGGAGCCTTCAAAAGGAACAACACTTTTGTCTTGTTTATATAAAACAAGTGCATTCTTCTCCCGGTATCTCGTTGAGTACGGGACAAGTGCATGCTGGTCTTGTTCCACCATTCGATTGTTGAGGCTCATACTCTCAAATTGGTTTATGAGTGCATCGATATCATATGGGTTTCTCCATCTTAAACTTGGATGAAAACCTGCATATGAAGAAAAAGGCATTACTTGGTTTACGTGACAGGTTATTTAGGAGAATAACCTTCTGGCAGATTCTTTTCAAATGCATGACCTTCTGACAATTTTTGAGGCATTCTTGTTTTAGGAAAGAGTCATTCTTCTGTTAAACAGCGACACTCTTAAATGTGTCATAAAGTCGTGCATTTAAAAACCTGTAAAAGTAGACTTTTACAAGGAAGCTACCTGTATAGTTCTTGAGGAACCAGTGATTATGATACGAAGAGGAGGGCACGATATATTTTCTCTTGGTTCGTTTCTTTGTTGCTATACTTGCACTAAAGTCGGCTGAAAGGGCTTCCATGCAGGTATGATGTTGACATAAAGCTTTACTAGCTGATTTTTTACCCTCTATCATTCCAGCAAATGAAGCCAAGTCACGCATCCGTTTTACACCCTTGCTTCTCTTCTTTCTAAAACTTTCCACATGACCAAATGCCAACATATGCTTGTAAGACTGCTGAAAGTTTAGGCCATACACTGTTGATGTTTCAGGAAAGCTGCGGTTATTGTATTCTGGCGACCAAATGGAAGAAACTGCCCTGAATGTGACTGAACTCTGACACTTTTCGGTTCTCTTTTTCTTGTAAATTGCTGGAAAGTTTGTAATCATTGATAGATATGCCTCCAAAGAGTTGTTGCAACGGTTTCCCAATCCATTTTCGTCACCTGAACATTCTCGCTTTGACCCCCTTGTTTCTTGACCATCCTCGTTAAAACATCCACTTGTACTGCAGTTAGAATCATTATCATGAGCTTTTCGTGAGAAACTTAAATTACGTTTTGCTCTCATACTCATGGGATTCACGTCTTTTGCCAGTCTCTCATGTCTTAGCTCAGACTTGTTTGGGGTTATAGGGCTTAACATTGTCATCTGATCCGTTAAGAATTCTTTATCACACATTAACTCGATTTCTGTCTTCTTTTTTATCCCCTGAAGTTCTGTATGCAAATTCTGCTCTTCTTCAAAGTTGATCTTTCTCCTACAGGAATTCCTAGTTTTCGGAAGTGAAGCTTCGCTTGTGGGTGTTTCTGTGGATCTTTCAGACATAATCTTTCTGACATACTTCCTCTTTCCAGTTGAGGAACCATCGGGTTGTGGGGGGGTCGACTTTTTAGCACTTTTGGGTTTACTTTCTATAACCACTTTTGGTCTGTGCTTTCTTCTTCTTTGTTTTGGCTGTGGCGTTTTCTTCGGATTAAAATCATCACTCAATTCTTCTTCAAAGTCTCCATTTACCTCCTCCAACTGCATAGAAATAGTGTCTTGTGATTGTTCGAGAATCAGCTGTGGCTGTTCGGGATCAGACCTTTCATTGTCCTGCTTATCAGCAGCTTCATCTGTACTTCCATCTTCATCTAAATTTATTATATCAGACACCACCTGTCGATGGTCTACCCTTCTGGTTATCTTTGGTGTTACCGGTGATAATTGGGACGAGATGCCTGTGATCAACTGTGGGTCTGTTGCTATCGGTGGTGAATTTAGATCAAACAAATACCTCGTTCGTTCATGCTGCCTGTCTGCATAGTCATGTCATGCTAAGTTTGTTATCGAAAACCGATGATCATGAATCACTTTGCACAAAAAAACCAAAAAGATTCAAGTATTCTTCAGAAGTTGAAAACCGATACTTCTTTTACTAGATGTTTTGTATTTGTTCGAGTCGAAACAACAAACGTTAAGGCTGTGTTTTGTAAACTAGTTGATAAAGTTAGTTGTTAGCTAATAAGTCGGATGTTAGCTGATAATCTAGTTGGTAAGTTAGTCATGTTTGTGTTATAAAAATTAGATGAGAAGTCAGATAACGATATAAAATGACATGTTTTTTGGTCATTTATGTTATACAAGGGACTTAAATCAAGAAAGGTGAAAAAAAGCTCTAAACCTCATCGAAAAACCATCTAAAATAGTTTGTCAAGAGGCCAACTTATAGCTTATTAGATGGAACTTATTCTACAAGCTTAAAAAAGCTAGTTTATGGTTGAGGAACGTGACTTAAAACACATTCATCCATGGTTCTAACAAAAAGCATCGACAACATTTTTTTCGCAAATTCACTAGGAATAAAAATATGTTGTCCCCTCTATGACCACCAATCGTGTGAGTCCAATTCATCCGTTTATTGAAGGGAATGAAAAAATAAATTAAATAAATTTATATTAAATAATATCTAAAGTATTTTGTCAAAAAATTAGCTTATGACAATATAAATACGATATTTATCGAATAAAAATATTTTATCCCCAAACTTTCGGTCCACCAAACAATTCATTTATTGAGAAGGAGTGAAAAAATGAATTTAATAAATTTATATTAAATAAAATAATAACATGTATTCGAATAATTGATGGGACATAGAAGGAATTCTTATTAGACCTTTGTCACTTACATTGTTGTGAATCAGATATGAAACTCATTCCACCTTCGTGATTCTGATTCTGATTCCGATTCTGAAAATGCATATTTACTTCACTTTTTGTGGTGATTGCTGCATCTGCGAGTGCAAGTAGATCACTACAAGGAATAGTATTCCACATATTATTCATCAAAAATCTGCCATCATACATTCCTCCAGTATTCCTTTCAAAAACTGCATCTTCTAAACCAAAACTCCTTGTTCCAATCCCGAATGTGGCTTTGTTAAATCGATTATCGGGTCCGTTTTCGAAGTTCATTTTCGGGTTTGAAGAATCTGCATTTGCAATTGCAATTGCAGGGGTAGCTGGAGCCCAACAAACCTCAACTGGGTGGTAACCTTGGAATGAACAATCTCTCTCTATATTCATTTGTGAATGGTAGGGAGAATATGGTAAATTACCAACTTTTCCTTCTTCCCCTGCTGTTTATGATGTTAAACAGAAGGGGGGAAATGCTTCAGCTTTTACAGTGTTAACATCTTAATAATCGACCCCCTTTTTCAGACATTCTGCAGAAACAGAAATTGGCAGAAATATTAACAGCAAATAAATTATATTAAAATTATTCACCAAATAATTCATGGGTTCATGCAAAAAAATCTTGGTTTCTTTTAAACAAATAAACATGAACTAATAGCATTCCCATAACGATGGTGTTTTTCTAAAATAAAACTTTGTTGTTCAGCATCTTGAACTAGCCTTCTTTTAGTGTTCATCTGCGCCTGACCCCGAGATGTAGATCGCCACTAAGATCAAACAAATTCTTTTATGTAAAAATCCAAGAAAAAACTACATTTCTACTCATGAACAAATTTATAAAAAAATGCAAGAATTATTTTTTTATTTTTCATTTAAAATATCTAGTTCTTATTTAAGCTCATATATATATATATATATATATGTATATATATATATGTATATATATATATGTATATATATATATGTATATATATATATATGTATATATATATGTATATGTATATGTATGTGTGTGTGTGTTATATTAACATTTTAACTTCAAATTTTAAGAAAGTATTCTGTAGGTACCAATAATTTGACAATAAACTTGTAAAAGTATATGTTAAAAATAAAATTTGTAAAGACGAAAGCGAAATTCATTTTGGGGAGGAAGTGTTGGTCAAATTCACACCAAAGCAGCTCCTTCAACCAACAGATCTCTCCAGAAAACCACTTACACTGTGAAACGAAGGTTGCAAAAATCCGACGATCAAATCAATTGAAAAGAAACACAAATTGAAGAAGTAAAACACACAATTTACTCGTAGTTTAAGTGAAAATCTGAACGAATGCCGGAAAGATGAAGTTCGGCGAGAAAAGCTGTTAACCTTGTTGATCGGAGTTGTGAAGTGAAGCTGATATCCAATTGAGTCGGCGATCGGCGGCCAAATTAGGAAGCAGAGTGTATGCGTGTGTGACCAGAGAGAAGAGAGAGAGAGAGAGAGAGAAGTAAGGATAAAACACAGTAGAAGAGAAGTGTCTTTTTTATTCATGGCGTCTTTTTCTGTATTACTTTCTACAACAACGTTTTTTTAATGGGTTCGTTGAAAATAAGCAGTTTTTTTATTCAATCTCGTGCTTTCTTCAAAGTTTATGTGTTCTTTTTTGTTCTATTTTTTACTGTAATATTGTATTTGATAAACTAATTGTTAAGTTAAATGTTGGTTGATGAATTAGATAATACAGTAGTTATGTTTGGTAAAACATTTAGTTAATAAACTGGATGAGAGGGGTGGGTACTGTTAGAGACATAAAATTAATTAGAATTGGAGAACTGTCTACAGTGCACGACATTTGGTATATTCATCAGGAATATAAACATATTATTATGAATGTGTGATTCATGATGAATAACGCTTCTATATTTACCGTAAATATGTCATTTATGATGAATGTTTATCATGAAATAAAGATATATGATGCGTACATTCAATTTTGGGTTCGTAACAAAACTATCCTTCTGGATGACGATAAAAAAATAGGAACATGTTGAAAAATATTAAACTTTATGATATAAAAAGCATAATTGAAAAACAAAAAAAAAATTAGACAATCAGTTTATCGGGTTCGTTGAAAATCTATCTAAAGTAGGTTTTCATAAAACTATCTTGTATATCTATACCATATTATAAATCATTTGACAGAAACTCTTAAAAACTATTTTTTATGCATGAAATATTGTTTATTGATGCATATTACTTAAAATTCAAGATTACAAGTAATTTTGTGTAAGTACAACATGATAAACATCTATTTTAAATATAGAAAATCTAAAATATAATTAAGATAATCATTGAGTTCTAACAGAATGTTTAATTATTATCTTTATAAAGATTATATTATTAAACCAAAAATAAATTACTTTGTTATTCAATCTAAATTAAATTATAGTAAAAATTGAATTAAAGAAGTTACACCAAACAAACAAGAACTATTGCATAGTTAATTTGATACTAATCTCGATTTATTTTATTCAAATTTTATGGTATCTTCAAATTTATATTTTATTTAACAAAAAAAAACTCTTAAAATCGTATTATCTAGATAGGAACAGAATAAATTAAACATTAAAATGGAGATTATCTTCGCTGCATTGCACGAGTACCTTTCTAGTTAATTTATAATTTATCAGATAAAATATTTTCAATAAATATATGAAATAAGCTACTTTATTTATGGTGGTCCAATATGTGTTAGAATTTTATAAACTACGAAGCATCCGGTTGTTTATGTCCAATTTGCAAACAAATGTAATAAAAAAGCAACACCTTAAATAAAAATTGAATTGGTTGTTGCCCTATAATTTCACAAAATAATAATAAATGATTAAAATAAATAAATAAAAGTGGAATCTTTCTAAGTTGTTCATATCATGCCAAATGAACATTATTTTTTTAATTATTATTCTCATGGTATTCACAATTTTAATTTCATTAATTTATTATAACATCTTAAATATATATTTTTTAAAGTCGCATTTAAAATAGAGAAAGTAGAAAACAAAATAAAAAATATTTCAAACTTGAAGAACGTTCCAAAAATGATTATCATAAAAAAATAATCATTTCTTTATTATATTTAAGAAAGAGTAATAATATTTTATTAAATGTATTAAATATTTTAATAATATAATAAATGTTGTAATCTATATTATATTATAAAATATTTGACAAAAACTTTTAAAAACGATTTTTTATGTACGAGCTACTGTTTATTGATACATATTACTTAAAATTTAATATTACAAGTAAATTGTGCATAAGTACAACTTATTAAAGCTCCATACTTGAATTCGTCTAACTAACTGCAGATAAACATAATCAAATATTAGATAAACATCTCATTTTAAATATAAAAAATATAAAATATAATTAGACTAATCATTAATAACAACAGAATACTTAGTTATTATCTTTATAAAAAATTATATTATTAAACCTAAATTAAATTTCGTTGTTACTAAACTTAATTAAATTATAATATAAAAATTTAATTAAGAAAATTACACCAAAACACAAGAACTTTTAAAAAGATTAATTTAATACTGATATCGATATATATATTTTTTTTAAATTTTATGATATTTTTAAACTTATATTTTATTCAAAAATAAAAACATTATCACTTTCTCAAAACCACATAAAACTAATGTTTACTTAAAATTCACGATTACAAGTAAATTATGCAAAAATACAACTTATTAAATCTCGATGTTTAAATTCGTATAATTAATTGCGGATAAACATAATCAAATAGAGGATAAACATCTTACTTTAAAATATAAAAAATCTGAAATATAATTAAGACAATTATCGAGTTCTAACAAAATAATTAATTATTATCTATATAAGAAAATTATATTATTAAACCAAATATAAATTACTTCGTTATTGTACCTAAATTAAATTATAATAAAAAAAATTGAATTAAAAAATTACACAAAAATGAGGAAATTTAAATAGTTAATTTGATACGAATATCGATATATTTTTGTTATGCATAAAGTACTGTATATTGATGCATATTACTTAAAATTCAAGATTATAAGTAAATTATGCATAAGTAAAACTTATTAAAGCTCGATGTTTGAATTCGTATAACTAACTGCGGATAAACATAATCAAATAGAGAATAAACATCTCATTTTAAAATCTAAAAAATCTAAAATATAATTGGAATAATTATTTAGTTCTAACAAAATAAATAATTATTATCTTTATAAGAAAATTATATTATTAAACCAAATACAAATTAATTCGTTATTGTACCTAAATTAAATTATAAAAAAATTGAATTAAAAAATTACACAAAAAAATGAGGAACTTTAAATAGTTAATTTGATACTAACATCGATATATTTTTGTCAAATTTTTATGATATCTTCAAACTTATATTTTATTCAAAAATAAAAATATCATCGATTTCTCAAAATCACATAAGACCATATTATAACATTGACTTATATAAAGAATAAAATAAATTATTAACATCAAGATGTATCTCGCTCCATTGCACGAGTACCTTTCTAGTCTTCAAAATAGAGAATCTATTAGAGTTGAATATAACTTTTTGGAGATTTTGCATTTTGATCCTCCATTTTAAATAAATTATAGGGAATTTGTTGAAGATGCTCTAAGATTCGAACCTACCCTTTTATTTTTACATATCTTAATCAAACAAAAATTTCTTTCCAAACGTACGTATCGGACTATATATGAGATGATTTCACCAAGTAGGGGTCGTCTACCGAACGCTATCTAGATAAATGCTTACCGAGTTACTTACCTTACCGTATGATCATGACTGATTATCTTACTAGTAAATTTTACAATAATGAGTATGAATGGTAGCTAACAAACTAATAATTTTTACCATACTAGGTAAAGTATTTCGAGTGTTGCTACAACCACCAAAAAAATTCTATTCAACGCACAATGCTATATTTTTCCAAAAGTGTCGGCACAAAAATGCCCCTACGATAACCAATGCTCCACTCAACCCTTGGACTCCTGCTGCTATACGATCCTGATATACATTTCATTTCAAGAAAAAAGTGTTAGACTAACGTCTAGTGAGATCAAACAGTTATTGAATAAAACTATAAAAGGTTAAAACTAGAAATATTGCTTTAGTCGATACATTATATATATATTCAAATCATAATTACCCTCAGAAGGGTATAAAACCTCAAAAGATGACGGGGGAGATCGGATTTACCACCGATAGTGACGGAACACATAAGTAAGCCACAGTTTAATGTTATATAAGCATCACTTATGGATAACCAAGTTAGCAAGCTCAACTTTTCGAGTCTTTTGCTTGTGGAGTCAGCAAGTTCAACTACTCAAGTTTTTACCTTTAAAACTACATGATCCAGTTTAAGCTAATTCACTTAGAAATTACACTATGTTGGTCATTGACTAATGTCTGACTCCAAGAGTCCACACCTTATCGTCTATTAAGACCCAATATCCATTTCAAGTTACAAGTAGAGCATATCATCCCAAACATATAATAAAACCGACTTCTATGCCTATAGATCTATTGCATTCTAGTCATATAAACATATCTTATAGATATCTCAAACTTTGCCAAATATATAGAGAATTTGTATACCAATAATCATCTAGTGGGTAAATTCCCCATTTTATCAACAAGTTCCCAAACATATGAACATTATAGTTTAAGTTCCAAAAATTCATCAAGATTTACAAATAATCATTTCTCAAGTATTTATGACCATTCCCCACACTTGTTTTTATCAAAAATATAAAATCCTCCAAATTCCCAATTTTCACCTAGTTGGTCCAAAATAAACAAAATGTGAATTATAAGAAATAAATTTTTTAAGAAACTAAAATCGATTATTTTAACATGTATATGGTTTAATAAAAGTGTAGGATGAACTCCCAATTCTAGGTTTTAGATAAAAACCTAGAAATCACCAAAAGCCTTGAAATGAAGATGAGAGGTTGAATCTTGAACTCTAGACTTGGATTTATAATTTTGATGAAGAAATCTACCTCGAATCTTGATGGAAGTCACCTTAAATACAATAGATCTTAGGATTAAAAGTGGTAAGTGAAGAGGAGTGATGAGAGAAAAAAGTATGGAGTAAATGAGGAGGGAGATGGGGGAAAACCGGGTGTATTTACAACAAGTGACTCGTGTGGGTTCCATGCGGGTTTACCCGCATTGGAGTCGCCCTTGTGCCTTCTTTACCTGGCACAAACAGCGCCAAATGCGACTTCTAAGCAGGTCTATCGCATTGGGGTCTCTTGCGATCTTCGAATCTGGCACAAACAGTGCCAGATGCGACCTTAATGCGAGTTTAGCCGCATGACTCCTGCATTTCTCACTGTTCCTCATCCTGCAACCCATTTTCTTTAGCTTAAAACACCACCAAGCATCCCACACCTAAGATGCTCAAAGGAAAACGAATTTAATACATCAGAAAAGGGAATACAGATAAATTCTAACCTTA